AGGGTTTTTTAGAGTGCAAGGAAAAATTCCTTTTATCTTCCAGCTACAGAGTTTTCTAGCAGCATCTTCTGGTTTTAAACGACTGATAGTCTACTCTCTCAGTGGAGGTCATGAAAGTAAATTTTAGACCAGCCAAACAACGCCTTGAAGTTCAATTTATTTTCTGCCAGATCCCTGAAAACAGTAATGTCACCCTGCAATGCCCTCTGCTGGGAGATGCAGCTTGGAGCAGGAAGGAGAGCTACCATTTCCCATCCTCCAGCAAGAAAACAGATACTTGCAACGAGATGGACTGGATTTTTACCTTTTGTAAGAAATCCTGACCCTGCTGAAATTAATGCTTTTAATTTTCACTTTGTGCTTAATCATTCCTCCTTTTGAAAACTGCACTATTATTCACTACAGTGGAAAAAAACCCTGTTTATTTCAAGTCCAAATGAAAACCTTATTACTGACTTCTAGACACGAAGATCTCTTTTTAGCAACTGAGTTTCTACAGACAGGTTTTATAAAGAAGCTTTCAGCTGCAAAAGATATTGTTCATCTTGCTATTCTTCTAAGTCTTTTTAACTCTAAAAGACTTAAAAGAAAAGACTTAAAACTGTAAAATCACACATGCAAATAGCATTTATGTTACACAGGTGTAATTCTACCTAACATATATTTTCACTGAATGGGATTCTTGTATTGAGAAGAGGAAGGCAGGCAAATGCCATGCAGGAAAACAAAGGAGTTAATCTAGAACCTGATGTGTGAGAACACCAACCTTACCAGCAGCCACTTCTATCTCCCTCTGAGATGCATCATTCTGGGGCCTGAGGAAGAAAAATCTGAATCAGCCCTGCCGAGGAGAGGGATATTAGCGTGGAGTTCACAAAAAGCAGTTTTCACCCCCACATGCATACTCGCGCCATGACCCTGTGTCTTATGGGCTAGTTATTCCCAGCTCACAAGTTTTCTGGAGAATCATCCCTGAAAAATATTTTCCAGCCTTGGCAGGGGTGATGGAACACTGTTGCTGCTTTAGTTTCAGCTCCCTCAGCTAGGATGGTTTTACATGGTGTTTGTCTCTCACCACAGCTGTGCAACAGGCAGCAAGTAGGAAGGATTTTTCCACAATAGCCCCCAGTCCTCCCTGCTGGACACTTTCTCCTTCCTACTCATGTTCTCACAGCCTACGTCCTTCCTGGCAGGCCAATTATTTTATATTTACTACTAATTATTTTTTTCTATCTTTTAAATGGAAACATTTTTACCTTGTGATATTTCCTCTGCCCTGATCTGCTTTATCACCGTGTGCCTCCTTCTGCCCAACTTTACAGGGACTGACACCCTCAGTGCCAGAGAATGCAGGTGCAGTAAAGCCACGCAGTGCCTGGTAACACCATTTTTATTCTAAGTTACACATAATTATCATTGATTTGGAAGTGTGATCTCCTTGGTACACAGCCTTACAAGCTGACAGTTTTTTTCCAGAAACATTTTTCCAATGTTTGTTATGCCCTCATGGAGATCGAAATGTCACAGTTATAAGCAGCTTTGAGGACTATGCCAGGTTCATTAAAAGGCCCCCAGACAAGTATTTTTTTGCTTTGTATACTGTCCTGAAAACCTTCTGCTTCCCTTGGCAAGCACCACGATGTCACACTCATTTGAAAATGAGCAAGTGTGTCTACAAACATTCAAAAGTATGTTTACTCCTCACAGCAAGGGCTCGGATTGTCCCTCTGGACACTTACCTACTCTTCTCAGGAATATATTCCTTTGCAATAGAACTGTGTAGCCCAGACAACAGGTGGTAGGTGCTCACATGTCATAACCTTGAAAATATTAATTTGAGGGAAGGCTGGAAGTAACTGAATGTCGCTCTGGTCCTCATGCCCCTCATGGATGAGGCCAGAAAAATGAAACTGAAAATCCACCCTCTAAACTGGCACCCTTGATGGAAGGATCGGCAGTGAAGTCCAAGACTAAATTAGCCTCCAGCTTAAACTGTCCTCTGATCTGAGGCTGTCTCTCAACATCACAAACTAGTGTTATACGAGGAATCTTGCACACACTGCTAGTTTTGCTGCCAAGCAGTCTTTCAAGAAGTTGTCTCCTAATCTGGTATCTTTACACAGAATAATTTCATTCATAGAAATGCTTGCTAGTGGTTAAAATTATGGCCAAGAATCTCCATTTGGCCTCAATTTGCTCATGTTGATGCATTGTACCACTACTAGGAAATAAGTGTGGTGTCACTCAAAATTATATTATACTGGAGTGTGACCAGTATAATAATCCAGTATAATAACCCCAGGAATGGGATTAGAGCAATATCATGTGACTGGGAGCAAGGAGTTGAACTGTTCTACATTTGCTGGAGACAGCAGAAGACCTTGGTGAGAGGCAGTCACTGTGTGACATCTTCTGGGGCAAGAGATGGGAAGGCAGAAAGGACTGCAACATGCTGTTGTCATGTCAAAAGGAAGAGTGCTTCCCTGCAATCATTTCCCTTCTGGTTGGCAATGGGTAGCACTTGGAAATGAGAGCTTTGGTATTCCCCGGCTCTGCTGACCTCTATCATTGCCTGAGCTTTGGAGAGTTCATCGTTCAGAGAAGAGCGCTGAGAAAAGCTCTGGCCAACCTCAATTAAGGTTCTCTTTGGTTCCCAGAGAAAACAGAAGCAGCAAATTAACATCGTGCCCTAGGAAGTTTTTTTGTCCTCATCACTGCTGTGGCAAAATCCAGTTTTATCAGCACTGCTGAGAAAGCTTGCAGTAGCTTGAGGATGAGAGAACATGATGGCTTCCACCTAGGACAGCCTTTCAGCTTTCTGTCCTCTCTTCCTAAGGACATATTGAGATAGTACATATTAAAAAAAAAAAAAAGATATCATCAGAAAAAATGGTCTCTCTGCACTTTTCCAGCCCTCAGCAATCAGTGACTTTTACATTTGCACCAATATAAGCCCCAAGCAGTCAGTGGGAGACAGCATCTGCACAAGCCAATTCAATCATTTCCTAAGAGAGGACAAAATTCAGAGCATAACATCAACTTCTTTCTCCTGGCCACTCTTCAGCTTAGCTGAAGGCCCAGTATGTCAGATTCACCTCAGTATGATTCCAGGGACTAGTCTGGAATCAATTTGACCCAGTAAGTCTCTTTGATTGCATCAGACCTTTCAGAAGTTTTGAACAACAAGGACCTAAACAGCAGGCAGCAATCTGCACAAAACCAATCTTTTCAGTTTAAGGATTTTAAAAGGTCTGTGCTCTTTTTTTTTTTCTTCTTCTTCTTTTTGGTTTCAAGTGCTTTCCAACTGAGCAAATGCTGCAAAGAGTTCATGGGACAAGGCCTTGAGGCACCCCTGACTTTGGCATTGTTATGCCATAGACACTCCATACATTTTTGGCACCTTGCAACAGGCACACTGACAGCCACAGGATTGATGGAAAGGGAAAGAAGCTGCTTTGCAGTCAAAAGAGAATGTACTCAGATTTCTAAGGCCATTTGAAAGAATGCCAGAATGATACTGGATTTCGGCATTCTTAAGCTTCTTTAAGATGATGAAGCAACTGGTCTTTTCCACATGTGATGATGTATTTCAGGACATGAGTTTCTTCAAGATTTTCCAAGCCTGTGGGCTCCTGATCCTTTTTCAAATTAAAGAGATGATAGCATACCAGGGAGAATTGTGATTAGTTTAAACTCTCCACAGCTGCAAGAGATGAATGTAAAAATTCCACCCAAAAATCCACTTCTTCTGGATTGAATTTACCTACACGACACAGAGTCCTGATCAAGGGACCACTTAAAAGAGCTGGAGCAGCATCAACACTATTTAGTTTCTTCCATCACATCAACTCAGGGAAGGCTCACAACTGTTCAACCCAACACATCTCCCCCAGGAGCACTGCCATGATACGGGCTGGGGTATTAACAGAGATCTGAGATATGTGGGGAGGAAAATGGAACGATGAAATAAAAGCTTAAGTACGAGGGAATTCAGAGAGGGCTCACAACTCATTACTTGAAATACCGGAGGAATTGTAAAACACCTTGTAACCGAAAGGCTTTGCTTGGAGCTCTCAAGGACTGCAGACCCCACTTCAACTCAGGCTGATAAATTTTGAGCCATCTTGGCAATGGGGGCGGTGCGAGCACAGAGTTCTCTGTCTCAGCTGACCTGAGGAGATGGCAACGTTCTGTTTATCTTCACAGGCCCTCTCTCTCTAAACCGCTTCCATGGGTTTCAAATTAAATATAATAATATACAATATCCACTGACATCATGGGTCGTGTGCCCACCTCGGGAAATCTGATCTCCAGTGTGTCTCTGACCAGGGAGGAGGCCAGAGCTCGCGTTGAAGACCGGTGACTGACACCTACGCATTTATTAATCTCGCAGTTGTAGGCGAGAACCAGCTATATGGGACTTTCCTCAAAAATGCCTGCCCCGACTTCCCCGGGAGCTATGGGGGATGTCAGCGGGGCAACGTACCTGGTTTTAAGGGGTCTAGGGCCGCTCTCTCTCACGGGGGGGGAGGGGGGAGGGGGAAGAAAAAAAACAGGCTTCTCCGGCGGGACTTAGCAAAGCGTAACCGTTTCGTTGTGCTGTAAACAGACCAATACGCAGCGCAGTGAACTGTATGACAGATGCGTTAAGCGTAAACTCCATTCTATGCCTTTCACCGCGCCCTGTGCAGAGACGTGCCCTAAATACCAACCCATGGGTCTCCTCAGGCGAGTATTCATAGAAGGGCGGGGAATACCCTCTTAGCATGCGTAGTCGTGGCCGAGTGGTTAAGGCGATGGACTAGAAATCCATTGGGGTCTCCCCGCGCAGGTTCGAATCCTGCCGACTACGGCTGGAGTCTACTGGCTTTCAGTTTCTTTTTTTTTTCTCCCATTGTTCATTGCCGAATCGCGGGAGTGACCGGGCGGGAGCCTTGCCGCGGCCGAGCTCCACAGGAGCCCCACAGCCGCACCCCACACCGCCCGAGCGCGGAGGCCCCGCCCTTGCCTTGGCAACCGCGGGGGCGGCAAGATGGCGGACGACTTGGACCGGCTGCTGGATGAGGTGGAGAGGCGGCTGTCCCGCCGGCACGGCAGCGGAGAGGAGAAGCCTGCGGCGGCCAAGGAGGACAGGTCAGCCGCCCCGCCGCGGTCCCGCCGCCCTCACGCACCTCCCGGCCGAGCGAGGGGCCGCCTAGGTGGCGCGCAGCCCGTCTCCGCCCCGCCCCGTCCGGCCAGACCCCTCAGGAACACAAAACACACGGGGTCAGGAGCCGAAGCGTTGGCCGGCGGTCAGCGAGTGTCCCCTGTAGCCGTTGTTTTTTAATCATCCAAGTCGTGCGCCAGCGAGCTGAGTTACTTCAGCCAGTCTTTGTCTCTTTGAAGCACCACAACATCGGATTAAATATGGCGTTAAAAGCTGCACTAATTTGCTTCTGAGTCAGGGTTGGGGATTACTTGGCTCTATAACTCACCTCATGTTATATATCAAATATCTGTAAATCTCGCAATTTAGCACAGGAAGAGCTTTAGTAATAGTATTATCAAAAATTTTATTCTTTTGATACTTCAGTCATTTCACAGAATCTCAAAATATTCTGAGTTGGAAGGGGCCCACAAGGATCACCAGAGCCCGACTCCTGGCCCTGTGCAGGACACCCCAGGAATTACACCATGTGCCTTAGAGCATTGTTCAAGCACTTCTTGAGCTCTGGCAGGCTTGGTGCTGTGACCGCCTCCCTTGGGAGCCAGTTCCAGTGCCCAACCACCCTCTGGGTGAAGAATCTTTTCCTAATATCCAACCTAAACCTCCCCTGACACAGCTTCAGACCATTCCCTCGTGTCTCTGTTTTCTGTTCATATTTATTAACTGTATCTGCTACAAAAAGCACCTAACTTAGACTCTACCCTTTCAGGTGTCTGCCTCAAATTCCACAATTTTCAACGTGATGTTACAAATACCATCAGGTTTGGTCCTGACAAGGTCATTGCTGACAGTACAGCCAAGCATTCAGTCTGCCACACTCCTGCCACTGCCTGCCCTCAGGCTTCCATCCAGGCCCTCACAGCTGTCTTTTCTTGCCCTCAGGTTTCTATCCAGGCCCTCACAGGCATCTTTGCCCACCCTTGGATTTCCATCCTGACACTCAGGTTTACATCCCCACCCTCACAGACATCTCAGACTCCCTTTGGAAGGTCTGTGGACCAGAGGGGCTTGCCCAGATTTCTCCACAGGTGGGCTGCTGAGCACTTGCCCAAGAGACATTTCAGAGACTCAGGTCAGGATCTTGAAGAGCCCAATGACTAATGCAAGTGCAGAAAGCCCATTGCATTTGGCCACATTGCTAGACTTCCCTGTTATTTGCATAATGGTTAGATGAGTACTTAATTTTAGTCAATCTAATTACAAACTTTTAAAAAATCGCACAGTTTTCTTCTTTCTCAGGACTGAATTTTTTCTTGATTTGTTGATGCAGGCCTCTCTTTCTTTGACAAACAGCTAGAAAACAGCAGACTTGAGTGTCACTTGAGTGAAAGCAAAGTGCAGGTGACCTTTCTAAATGCATCCAGTTTGGCAGGAATTCCTTCAGAAACCCTGCAGTTGTGTAGCATGAGGAGACAACTCCCTCTGACATTTTCATGTTACTGCTGCTGAAGGTTAATGTGAAAAATCAGGGCTGTCCAATATATTGCCCAGTAAGTGCAGCATGGGTTATATTATCGTAGTTTTATTCAGGGTTGAAAGTGGTTGGAAGTAAAAGAAGAAGCAAAAATAAAACCTATGATGGGACAATTCAACACGGACTGAAAGGTGTCACTCTGCAGTTTACACCTGTTCAGTAATGACTTGGATGGCCTACCTTAGATGCTACAAAAATATTACAGGAAAAAGGCTGTAACTGTTTTTAGTTTTTAAGTTATAATTCTTAGAACTGCTGTAGTTCATTTTGCTACAAAAATGATTGATTTGTTTGTTTTTCAGATCAGCTAAACTGGTAATGAGTGCTGGCAGCAGCAAAGAAGATCTAGATGACATTATTGATGAAATCTGTAAGGACAGCAGCTTTACCAAAACACTTCCGGTGAGTAGAGTTTGGAGACATGCAGAATGGATCAGGTAGAACAACGGAAAGCACCATAAGGTGCTTTTTAAGCAAAAAATTAACTAAAACGAGCTGTAGAATAATCTTGGAAAATAAAGCAGAAAGTAAAAAAGGACAATCCTTTAGTGAGGAACAAGAGGGATATAAAGAGATGTTCTTACCTAGGCAGTAACAGGCAATTAAAGGAAATGCTAGTTCAAGACAGAGCATAATGTGAAATATCACAGAAGGTTTGCAGTTGGAAGAGGGACCTGTGGAGAACATCTGGTCCAACTACCTGATTAAGCAGAGCTGCTTAGAGCCAGTTGCCCAGGTCTATGTCCAAATGGAATATCGAATATCTCCAAGGATGGAGACTGCACCCTCTCTAAGTAACCTGTTTCCAGTGTTTGACCACCCTCACAAGAAGTTTTTTCACGTGTTTAACTGTAAATTCTTGTACTTCAATTTGCACCCATTGCCTCTCCTGTCAGTGAGCCCCACTGAGAAGAGTTTGGCTACGTCTTCCTTATTTTTCCCTGGCATGTATTTTTATACCTCGATAAGGTTCTCCTGACCATTATCTTCTCCAGGCTAAGCAATTCCAGCTCTCTTATCCTCTACCTATATGTCAGATAGTCTAGATCCTTAATCACCTTCATGGTGCTTTTCTGGGCCCACTCCATTATGTTCGTGTCTCTTTTGTACTGGACATAGTGCTCCATACATGTTTACGAGGTCGTATCTGGAGTACTGTGTCCAGTTCTGGTCTCTCAAACACAGGGGAAAGATGGAGCTACTGGAGAACCTCCAACAAAGGCCTATGGAGTTATCTCTCACCTGAGGAGAGGCTGAGAAAGCTGGGACTGTTCAGTCTGGAGAAGAGAGGGCTCCAGGGCGATCTTATCAATGTGTGTAAATACCTGATAGGTATAGTAAAGAAGGGGACAGACTCTCCTCTGTAGTGCCCAGTGACAGGACAACAGGCAATGGGCAAATACTGAAACACATGAAATTCCACCTGTACACAAGAAAACACTTTTTTTACTGTGAGTGTGGTCAAACACGGGGGATAATCTTCACAGAGAGGTTGTGGAGTCTCAGTCTGTGGAGATCTTCAAAACGCAGCTGGACACAGTCCTTGGCAAGCTGCTGAAGCTGACCCTCCTTGGAGCAGAGGAAGGTCCCTTCCAACCGAAATGATTCTGTGATTCTGTCTCACCAGTGCTGAGTAGAGAGGAAGGATCATCTCCCTGGATGTGTTGGCAACATCCCTCCTAATGTAGCCCAGGGTGCTGTTGGCCTTCTGTGCTGCAAGGGCACACTGCTGGCTCACGGTCGACTTGTTATCGACCGAATTTCCCACAACCTTCTCTGCAAAGCTGCTTTCTGGCTGCTCAGCCCTCATTGTGTTCTGGTGCATAAGGGTTATTCCTCCCCAGGGGCAGGAGTTTGTATTTCCCCTTAGATGAACTTGAAAAGATTCCTCTCAGCCCATTTCTGCAGTCATTTGAGGTCCCTCTTAATGGCAGCACAGTCATCTGACACAGCAAGGACTGCTCCCCATTTTGTATCCTTTGCAAATGACTTGTCTTGTTTCACAGCAGGGGATGGAGATGAAGCCACAAATTTACATTGTCAAGATACTCAGAATGATAGAAGACATAGAAAACATATATTCATTTTAGTATCAGCAGTAGAAAATTGTGTTATTTATACTTCATAACCTCTTGTGCAGATTCTCATATTTTCATTAGGGATATTGGTTTTGTTTTGGTTTTACTTGATTTTTTACAGAGTGGCTAAATCTGAGCCAACAAAAAACACTTGTATACCACAATACATATATCTGAGGGAGAGAGAATTATGTCAGTAAATTTGTATAATTTTATCATTTTATATCCCTAGAACTTCCCATTTAGGATCTAGAATTCTGATATTGTAGAATTCAAATAACCTGTTTTGTGCGCAGCAAATAAGAAACTTTTCAAAGACACTTTATCTTTTTGAATAATCTAAGTTCTTGATGTGTTTAATGAAACAAAAGCTCAAAAACATTGAGGGAGAGGGCTCCTAAATTAAAGCTGGTTTTAGAAGCAAAATTATTAAAAGGAGGACATGAAATACTAAGTCTCGATTGTAAAGTCAAAGTGATCATGTGGTGTTGAATTCCTTCAGGCAGAGCTGAAAATTCAATATAGGAAGAGAAGCCTTGTTCTCACTTATCTGTTACTTCAGTAGCTTTTGTCTCAAAGAGCCTCACAACCCTGACCAAGAAAATTCCCAAATCCTTAGTCCCCTTCTTCTGTGACTGAGATTTTCTGGCTCCGGCTTATTAAGTAAAACAGAATATTGTTACCTTGTTGTAATGCCACATTTTATTCTTTGATTTCTTTTCAAACAGAAATTGAAGTCTAACTTCACAAGTCTCACACCTGAAAGAAATAGTGCTATTATACAGGCATGTGGGAAAAAGTAAGTGAAAAATGTTTTAGCTTGTTGGACATAGTTTGATTATAAATTCTTGTCAGTTTAATAATATTGCTGCTCTTTAATCTGTGTTGACATTAACTAAGAAAGACATTGAGTACAGAAACATTCTTTTTAAAGAAAAACAAAGATAAAGAGATAATTTTGAAGCATTGCTCATGTGTTTTCATGTGATCAAAATTATCATAAATTTATTAATTATTTAAGTTTTTTAACAACTTCTCCCTTTGCCTTATGGACATACACATTTATCAAACGCTGCAATATATAGACCCATATATATTTGGTATAGTGATTTTGGCAGAGTTTTTCTTTGAACATCTTGGTAATGGAAATTTTAAAATTCTGTAGTTTGCAAGCATTGGGACGCTTTGCCTCTATTTAATAAATATTATTTTATAAATACCATGCTTTTAAACTAGGAGAAGCATTGTACTACCTTCTCTAACCTGTTTTGCCATAAGTTAGTATTTTTTAATGAATCCATGTAGATGCTGTCCAGTGTACCTGGGTGGAAGCGCTTCACCCTCTGGCATAGGAACAAATATTTCAAAAAGGTAGGAAACCTGAAAAAAAAATGTGCTACTTGCTTTATCATTGTTTTTATTCAGGGCTGTGTTTCTATAGTCGTACAGAGTTCTGCATTTGAACTGGACAGGACGGCCTTATAGTCATCTAAAGAAGGGGCTGCCTGTAACTGCAGTTGAAGTCAGCTGGTCCCTTCCAGTCCTCTGTTGTCGACCACTAGATCTTTTGTTTGTTTGAAGTGTTGAAAAATGTGTGCAAATGACACACAAAACTCCAAAAATCAGTAACAAGTAGTTAAGGAAGTTGCTGCTGCATTGTTATTTTTCCCTGCCTCTCTTCATCTTTCTGGTGATGCCAAGTATGTGACTTAAATCAGTGGGCTGGTTTAAATCATCCCAGAGCCTGAACTGAAAATAGCCAGAGTGCTTTGCAACTGCAGCTGAATTTAGTAGGGGAAGATTTATCCACAACATCCTATAGAACATTATTGCATTTCCATGTGGGATTTTTTGTAGTAAGTAATTATGTACTTGATGCGTATTTGGATGCTGGTCAGGTGCTCTACCAGTGAGGAAGACCAAAGAATATATCAAGAGAATGTGAGTTTATTTTTTTGTGTTCAGTGAGGTTATGAACCTGTAAAAATAATACCTGATCATACAGTTAAATCACATACCATAATGAACTTGCCAGGGATGTAAAAACATTAAGATTAGGTAATATTGCTTCTAGTATTTCTCACTGAGCACTGTACTTTAAAACAATTATGATCTAGGTACTTCTCTGATTGTGATAACCTCTTGGACCGTTTTGTTCTTTTTTGACCAGAACATGTGATCAACTACGTTGTACTGCTTGCGACTTCCGTGTGTCACTTTTCAATGACTACATCTGGGATCAGTCCTGTGATTATCTTTTTTTCAGGTATGTCTGAGATGGGTTTGGTAGTATTGTGTTACTGTGCTTTGGGCCATAATAAGAACAGGAAAGATGAAAAGTCCCGAGCACTGCTGTGTTACCTAAAAAGGAACATGTGTGTGACCTGTTTGGGATCAGGTGGGAAAGTCTGTGGGGAGAGGGAAGCAATAATCTGTTTTTATCCATTTCCATTTCTTCTTCCATCACTCCCTCTCTGCTTTTAAAAAGAATTTAAGTTTCATGGATCAAAGGCAACTTTATTGCTGAAATAAGCAGATAATCCATGGTGATGGGTTGCCCTCTGCTATGCCATTGCAGGGTGCCTACAATATAAATGTAGACTGTTCAGCATGTGCTTCTCACTAGACCTTCAGTCATACAGACTGTGATTGTTTCAAGTCATATTTTCTTTTTTCCAGTATCAAGTATTATGCTGTCATGTTTGGTGAAAATCAAATAGCTTTATTTCTCAACAGATTTCTTTCTTGAAGCAAGGTTTGATTAAATGGAGGGGTGGGATTTTTGTTTTCTTCTGACATTATGATGTCTTTGGTATGCTTGTACTACACGGTTGGTACTGAAAAGAGTCTGAAAGTGCTTCTGACAGATCATACCTCCATTCTGAATAGATGGTCTGAACACTTTCAGACTCTTTTCAGTACCAACCGTGTAGTACAAGACTCAGCAATTCAGTCCATCACACAACAACCAGTGAAATACGAATTGGATACTGCCCCCACTCTAGGAGAAACCCTCAAGGCCATACAGCAGGTGAAAATCGGCAAGGCAGCTGGGGTTGATGGAATCCCACCTGAAGTCTGGAAACATGGGGGCCTTGCACTCCATGCTAAATTTCATGAGCTTGTGGTGCGCTGTTGGGAACTAGGCGAACTACCTTCAGACCTTCGTGATGCAGTCATCATCACCTTGTATAAGAAGAAAGGTACTAAATCAGACTGCTCAAATTACCGTGGTATTACTCTGCTCTCCATTGCTGGCAAAATCTTGGCAAGAATACTCCTGAACAGACTAATACCCGCTATAGCAGAAGAAATTCTACCTGAAAGTCAGTGTGGCTTCAGAGCCAACAGGAGCACCACAGACATGATATTTGTTCTCAGACAACTGCAAGAGAAGTGTAGGGAACAGAACAAAGGTCTCTATGTAACCTTTGTCGACCTCACCAAGGCTTTCGATACTGTGAGCAGAAAAGGTCTTTGGCAGATTTTGGAACGTTTAGGTTGTCCCCCCAAGTTCCTTAAAATGATCATCTCACTCCATGAGGATCAGCACGGCCAAGTCAGATATGGCAACACGCTTTCTGAGCCCTTTCTAATAAAGAATGGTGTGAAACAAGGCTGCGTTCTCGCTCCTACCCTATTCACAGTCTTTTTCAGCATGATGCTTCAAAGGGCCTCGGCAGACCTCGATGATCAGGACGGTATCTACATTCGATATCGTACTGATGGAAGCCTATTCAACCTAAGGCGACTGAAGGCCCACACTAAGACCCTAAACCATCTTGTCCGGGAGCTGCTCTATGCTGATGACGCCGCCCTTGTTGCCCACACAGAAGCAGCCCTGCAGCGTTTAACATCCTGCTTTGCAGAGGCTGCTGAGCTCTTTGGGCTGGAAGTCAGCTTAAAGAAGACAGAAGTTCTCCATCAGCCTGCACCTCAGGAAGTCCCCCACCATCCCCACATCACCATCGGCCAGTCAGAACTCAATTCGGTCCAACAGTTTAATTACCTAGGCAGCCTCATCTCCTCAGATGGTAAGATTGATGGGGAGATAGACAATAGGTTAGCGAAGGCATACAGTGCTTTTGGAAAACTCCATAAACGAGTTTGGCGTAATAAACACTTGAAGAAAAGCACCAAGATCAGTGTTTACAGAGCCATAGTGCTGTCTACTCTTCTATATGGTTCCGAATCATGGGTCATCTACCGCCACCACCTGCGTCTCCTAGAACGCTTCCATCAACGCTGCCTCCGTACAATCCTTAACATCCATTGGTCAGACTATGTGACCAATACATCTGTTCTCGAACAGGCAGCAATTACAAGTATTGAGGCCATGTTACTGAGAACGCAACTGCGTTGGGCAGGGCACGTCTCTAGGATGAAGGACCACCGCCTCCCTAAGATCCTGCTCTATGGTGAACTTGCCACTGGCTGCCGCAAGAGAGGAGCTCCAAAGAAAAGATACAAGGACTCCCTGAAGCAACAACTCAGCCTCGGGCATATTGATCACCATAACTGGTCCACTCTGGCCTCTAATCGGGAGGCCTGGAGACAGACCATTTATAACGCCGCTGATGCTTTTGAGAAGGCACGCAGGATCACTCTTGAGGAGAAAAGACAACGCAGAAAGAATCGAACCTTGCAGAATATACCATCTAAGGAGTCTTTCTGCTGTGTCTTTTGCAACCGGACTTGCCTTTCTCGTATTGGCCTTTTTAGCCACCAACGCGCTTGCATGAAAAATGGGTAGAGCCCTTCCCAAATCTTCGTTCGCGAAGCCTAGCCATGATGATGTCTTTGATTTTAATTCTTTAAATATTTTTGAAGAGTTAAAATTAAGTTGTTCTTATTTTCAGTTTGTCTAAAACTACATCTAATGCCAACACTTTGTGAAGGGTACCTAATACAGACATCAAATTTGGATTCCTATTTATTTTAGTACAGTCTCTGCATGTGCCTGTTAACTGATGGAACAGGTGGGTGTGTTCAGAGTATGTGCTTGGACAGCGAGGGATATGACAGATGGAGTAGAACAATAATGGAGATATCAGCTCCTTTTCCATTATTTTCCCTGTATTACATCTTTGGTTATTCCTGTATTTTCCTTCCAGTCTCAAAATTTGTATTTCTCTTTGAATGCCCATATTTTTCCCATTACTTAAAGCAGCATTAAAAAGATAGTGCTGCATTAGTCTCCTAAGATGAGTTTGGTAGCAGGAAAGGATAAACAAAAGTACGATTCTTCTATTTTCCCAAAGTCTAAATTATTCTGCTTCTCTGATCTTGAAATTATTAAACAAAAACAACCAAAAAAAAAGAGGCATTAATGTCAGATACATGTAACATCGTCTGTAATCTTTAGCAAGATCTGTAGCTATTTTTTTTGACAGACGTGAATTTTAGGAAGCAAACTTTAAGATTAAATATTTGCCTTCCATCAATAGTTGTCTGGACTCTTTTTCTAAAAATTCTTCCCTTTCCCAACTTGTTTTGGGTTTTCTTTATTTAGCTGGGCTATTTCATGTTGGTTTTGAGCAATTCAGTGTCCAGTAATTGAGGAGGAGGTCTTGAGGGTAGATAGCTAAAATGTTACATTTTCACTTGATTTTTTTGAAACAACTTGTTTTTGTCATAGCTGTGCTGATTTTTTATTTGTTGTTGTTCATGCTTGCACTGGAATTACTTGTGGTTTGATGTACATTCTTCCCTCTTGTGGCCATTTCATATCAGTCACTTTAGCAATCATCCTGAGTAACAGTTCCTGATGAAAAGTTTAACTCTTTAGTTGTTCCCATTCTCCACAGTGATTTTTACAGTAAGTTTGATAAGATAAATACATTTTTGGATAATTTCCTAACATGAGAATTAATTCTACCTGGTTTTCTTCCCAGCTCTTTCTCTGGAGGCTGACACAAGGTCTCTAAACCCAACAGAGAACACTGCTTACAAAAACATCAATCTCTAGTTGATCTCAGAACACAGCAACTATGGACCGAGAATGATCTCGGGAAAGGATTGTGTTCAAAACAGAATTTAAATTATCCCTAAATTTATTTATGACTGTGGTACTCAGAAGTGCCTTTAAAAGCTCTCCTGATTTGAAATAGCCTCATGAATCTTTTTTCTGAAAAAAAAAAAAAAAAGCATGATCCTAAGCTGAATTCACTTGTTTGGCAGGAATAACATGCCTGAGCTCAGTAAACTAAGAGCAAAGATGATAAAGAAGAAAGGAGCACGAGCATACGCTTGTCAGTGCAGCTGGAGATCCATTGATGAATTAACTGACCTCCAGACGGAGCAGCAGCTTCGGTGGGTTTGTGGTAAACATGGAGAATGAAGTCTTCTTGTGTGTGATACCTACTTGTGTGGACACAGGTCTCAAACTCAATTTGTTTCCCAGTTTTCTGAGAAGAGCTGGACACTTGAATACTTCTATCTAGAAATAGATTATAATACCCAGATTTCAACCTGAAAACCTGTTTTTTCAATTTAACTGTCTTGCAAGCAATGTGGAGAGTTGAATTATTACAAGAAACAATTTTGAGGCTTTCTGGAAGCTAAATGAGGTTAAAGCTCATACTGAGTAGTGTTAAAGGAGAAGAGGAAATAACAGACCTGGGCATGAGCAAAACACCTTGATACTGTTCCTCATATCTACTAGAAGAGAGCCTTATTTCCCATGTCTGCAGAATCTTGGATTCAAAATGGTGGGCTGGGACACAGCCATGACACACAAGCATATGAATTTCAGCACAGAAATTAATCCCGCTCTTCTGCTTTGCTCATTGCTGGTAATGAGCAAGTGGTTGTTTGCTCTCTTAAAAAATTACTGTGGGATCAGCTCTCACCTCAAAGGTTTCAGCACACCCCAGAACTTTACTTTCTTTTATCCACCAGTAACCAAAAACTGCAGGTGCTGAAAATTTTCTTCCAGTTCCTACTGCTTTCTTCAGAGCACTTTCCTCTGACTAAGCACTTTTACCACAATGAAATTTTCCTCAGCCTTCACTGCAAGAGGTGAACAAGTTATTATTAAATTTTGTGCAATTTTAAAGATATTCTGAAGAGTTTTCTGTCAATATTCTCAAGGGAAAAAGGCTCAGGCTTTTAAGAGTGAGAAAATATATATCCCCACTGATGTTGGAATTTAGATTTTATTTCAGTTTCACATAGCTTTCCCTTCAACTTCTCCTTAAAATACTATGTATTGAGAAAGTGTCACTGTCCTGTTTCAACACACTTCCTTCCACCGGTAACGTTACTTGGTGAATTGTCTTGCTTACAGTCACTGTCACTATAGTTTATGAGCTCTTTCTTTTCTTTATGTATAAATAACACAGGAGATAGACTTGAGTTTTATGCAAGGAGATAGGAAGGAAAGGACTACCAGTCCTGTCATTTACTACATTTAAAAGTGTCTCAGAATGGGAAGTCTGTCAATATTTTTGCTATGCAATATGTGTATCTATACAAATAAATTCGAGATTATTTACTTTGAGCAATTCTAGCTATACAGAGCAATTTCCTTTTCTAGGAAGTTCTGCTCATGGTTCTAACTGTACATTTGTTCTGTTTCTGAGCTTTTCCAAAACAATTGCATGGTCTTTCTTATGGAGGTGATCTCTTGAATCCGTTGCCCTCTGAAAGAGCAGATCTTGGCAGTGACCAGAGGCATGATGTACTCTGCATCCTGCTTCCCTTCCCCTTCCTTGAGTGCTTGTTTTAGAAGCTGCAGAGGACCAGCACTGTGCCTGGGAGCCTTGGCAGTGCTTCTTCAGTGTCCAGACTGCATCTTCCAGTGCCACGTGCAGGCTTACCAGTAGAGTCAGAGGTGAGCTGGCTTTTGAGAGGTACTACTTGGCATACTGGTGTAGACATATTTAAGGTCGTGTATTGTTTTCAATGAAATTGGTATTTCAGGCTGAAGTTTCAACTGCTAGAATCTAAAACTGCAGGTTCAGGAGACCAAGGGACCCAGAAACCAATTGATTAGTGCTCAGTCAGATGCCTGCTTGGCTTTCTGTCCTTTGTGAAGAGTTCACCCTGGTGTGGGCTGAAGGCAGTGAGTGTTCCTGGGTTTTCTTCAGGTGGGCCTGAGTGATTTCCATGCCCAGAAAACATCAGTGCTAAGCATAAGGGAAGAACCCAGCAGTAGTTAACAAGCTCTGGGGAAGAAGGAACCTGCTCTCCATTATTCTTGAAGAATGCATTTCAAAAAGTGCTGAGTTGCCTTGGCACGTGTGTTCTGAGGCTATTGGAAACTCATGACCAAGTAGTCCCACAGGGTACTCTTTCAGTTGGATTTGCTCTGGAACTTGTGCCACAGTGTAGGATCAAATTGGGCTTGCAACCTGTGAGTAAGAAACAGGGAAAATCCTAATACCCATCTCAGTCATGAGACCAAGTCTTACATGACTTGAAAAAGGAGCATGTCTCCTGTACCCTAAACATTCCCCCGGAATAATCAGGTTTACTCAAGTATAGTTACTTGTTTCTGGCCTTGGTAGAATGGTGGGATGTGACATCTCTTTGTCCAAGGGAAGTTGTAAACAGGTGCAGAAATAGTGCATATTGTATTGGTTTTCATTACAGAATTTAGCATATTTTTAGATTTGAGAATAGTTACTATGTCATTCAATATAATTATTGTGTTGGAAGGAGGAGCGGTATTAAGATTTGATTTCCCTTCCTTTGCTTTCCTCAGTTACAAACCACTTCAAAGTCCTCAAATGAAAAGAAAGTAGGGGAAAAAAGGTAAAATTAGAGCTTTTGTTTGTTTGATGAAGGTATTGTCAGATTGCACAAGGTTTTCAAGACATAGCCCAGACCCGAAGTGATATTTCCATGTCAGTTATCTGAGATAACAGGGATTATGTAGAGAATTCTGTTTCAGAACATGGAAAGAATTCTGTTTAAGAATGCCATTCAGCTGTTGTCAAACGGAACTACCAGAGCACAGTTTTGCTAAGTATGAATGTGACCATTGTTTTCCTCCAGTTTTTTGCTTTGGAATTAAAAATAACATTTCCGTTTCTGAAATGGACAAGGTGAAAATTTGAGGCTTTTATTTTGCTTAGGTGATATGCTTGAAAATTTTCTAGCCTGCAGCATTAGTCTGGAGCAGATCCCTCCATCTCAACAAAACAGAAGCCATGAAGGATGACAAAATGATAATCCATACAAAAGCATTCACATGGAAATGTAGTCAGTGGTTTAATCTCATACCAACTTTTCTAAATCTATGTTCCTGCAGTATTTCTGGATAGGAATGCCATTCAGATATATATAGCTTTTCTTCATCAAATTTTAATTTGCTGTTCTGACTACATTTCACTTGTCTTACCTGCAAAACATGGAGGGTGTCCAAGCCAGATGCTGAATACAGCTCAGAAGAGTCATTATTGAAGGTCTTGACCTGCCATTATATTTAACGTACAGAAGCATAATAGCATTACATATTGCAAGCTCTGCGCTGTATTGTGTTGAATAAAGATTTTTTTCTTTCCGAACACCTATTTCAGTTTTGTACTGAAGGTATTCTGCAAATGCTGCCACTTGCTGAAAGACTACCACTTCTCTTGTTTCCTGACATGTGAGTCTTTGGGTCATGTAACCAGCACATGTGGTAGTCACACTATAGGAGAGGGACTATGCTGGGAGCTGTGCAGGCAAATTTTTCTTCCTGCCAGGCTCTTTTTGCGCAAGACCTGACCAGTTTTGTCTGTTGTGTGATACCCGATAACTACAGACAGGTGGGAGGTAAAGGAACATCAGGTGCTGCTCATTTGTGAGGGCCTCATCCAATGCCTGGGGTTTGACATCTGTGCTTTGAGAAATGTCTACTTTTCAAATGTCAGCACTTAATAAAATGAAAAGTTGGAACAAATCTGAATTGTGTGTTGTGTAAATGTTACTGTGTTGTTCTTAGCCAAGAGAAGCCTTATCAAAATTATGTAGGACCATATTTTCTGTCGGAAGACTTATGATATGCCCTTAGTACAAAAACATTGTCCAGCTCATAAGAAACAGTAAAGTCCTGCTGTGTGTGTTTTCTCACATCAGTGGGGATGCAGCAAATAGCAGAGAATTGAATAAGCTTTAATATTCTTTACCAGATAACTGGCCGTAATATCCTCATTATCTGGAGATAACGAGGATAGTACATTAAATTATAGAGAGCTCATAAAGATGGATGCATATGCCACATTTCTCAGATGTTTACCTTGGATAAAAGGTGGAGCCAGCTGCTGTCAAAGGTGGTATATCTTGCAGAGTGGGGTGCTGGTACCTTGGTGTGTCAGTCAGAGTGGGTTATCACTAGCATCATACTGCTCACAGGAAAGAGGGAGATCAGTCAAGGAATCACAGCATTTGGCTGTGCCCTGGATCTTGCTGTGGAAAACCATTCTTAGTACCTGGGAGGAGTTGCTCTGCATATGGGAGTTGGAACTTGTTTCTCCACCATCAAGAAATGCATGTATACGTGTTTGCCTGGCAGTTATTAGTGACAGACATAAATATTTCCGGTACCTCATCCTGAATTTGGACTCAAGGCATTGGTGCTATTCAGGCAATAATTACTTCCCTGACTTAATGGGCAGTGTGGACTGCATGAGCACACACAGAAAGCACCCACTGCTTCATGCCTGACTTATTTACAGCTTGCAGTGTCACAGTGCACAAGTAGAAGGTAGTACTTATGAATGTTTTATTCACACTGGCAACTTTTTTCTCCTGAGTGAGATGTGCTTTTTAAGTACCTAGTCGGGGGTAATATGTGATTATACAGTCCAGTCTGCAGAGGGCAGAGCAACACCGCCGACTGTTTTTCTAGAATGATGAAGGTTTACATTCAACGAACGGAGGCTTCTTGCGTTTGCCTCCTACTAGTGTGATTATAAGTGGGGTAGCCAGATCTGTAGCAACTCCACTTGATTTTTGTACAACTTCATCCAAATGGTCCTCAAGTGGTTCCTGACCAATACTGGAGTAGATTAACGTTTTTAGCTGTCAGCTAAAGAAGCATAAAAAACTGTGTTGTGTGTATGTAGGTATATCTATCTGTGTTTATCCTCTAATGACTAGAAAAACTAAATTGCCTCACCCTGCCCAAATTAATTTTCCCTGAAAATGTTCAATAATTTTGGCAAGTAGAGGTTGTGTATGTTAGGATCTTCTAATGTTGAATACAAAATTTATATAGCACATCACCCAAGATGATTAACTCTTAAAAAGGAAGCAGTAAAAGTCTAAGATTTAGAAATAGAAAATTCCTGTCTATATAGGAAAGTGATGTAGACCAGAGCAATCTGCAACATGGCATGAGAATTGTCCTAACACCTGCATCCTGCAGTTCATTGGCCATGAGCCACAGCTGAGGTTTGAGTGAAGTTTCACTCTCTAAACTCTTTTCTGGTTCTTTGGGAATCCCGAAGGCTTTTATGTACAAAGCAGATTTATAATGGATGGAAGTAAATGTTATTTCTACTAACCAGTGAAGTTGTGTCTGTTTCTGCAGAAGTGATGAGGGGCTTTTAACTAGAAGCACAAACATATCTAAACCATGAAACTACAGTTTGCTTATTTTACTGGTAAAATAGGGAATATCATCCAAATTTTGCCTAGTTACACCATAGGTAAGTGATCTTCATTCTTTACTTACTTGCTTTCTTTTAGGAGAAACAATTGCACTAAAAGCTTACTCGAGCATATAGGAACAAGTAAGGCTGAATAGCACACCTGTGAAAGGTTTCATATAGGAAGGTTTTGTGAAAACATGTTTTCAGGCAAGAAATAAGCCATCGCTTTTGGTTTGCTTCAAACTAAAGATACACCTTAGTGAAAAAATAGCATGCTGCAGGGAGAAGTTCAAATGCCCACCATTTGCCAAAACCAAGGACAAAAATTCACGTGGCAGGTGTCCTTTCTAGGAATCTTTTAAGATTCCTAGACTGGCCCAGAAGTCAGGTGTGAATCCATCCTCCCATCCCCTGCTTAAGGGTTTCCTGCAGTATTTTGAAACCTGTTTCCTGGAGATAGGTTTTAGAGACAAGAGCTAACACTGATATTATATTTAGATATAAGAACTAATATATTCAGGGCTTGTAAAGCCCTCTTAGACAGTGGTTTATAACTATTATTCAAATATAAGCAAAAGATCTTGACTTTTTTTATGAGAGTTTAGTGAAACTGAAACCCTTGCAGCCTCAGAACTTTTTGATAAAGAACTGGGAGGCAGAGAGAAGGGAGACATTTTCATACCGGTCAAACCAGCACATAATGTTCTAGCTCCTTAATGCTTTAAATTCCTCTATTTAAAAAATGTGATTGTCTACAGAGGGGAAAAAATGTTCACTCTTGAATGGTGATAGGATATTTGTAAAGTATCCATAGAATTTTTCAATCCCTATTTGAAGGCAAGCAATATGGCCTTGCTCTAAGACACTGCAATAAATGTGATAGTGAGCATAAATCCTTCAGCCAGGAGCTTTGGGATAGTCAGCAATCTGAGTGTGCTCAGAAGCCCATGTCCTGACTGTCCCGATGTAAACAGCATTCACAGGAAGGGGGAAGCAGCTACCAGAGACAGGAAGGTTGAATTTAGCATCAAACTCCTTATCTAGGCAGAACGGGCTGCTCAGGATGCTGATAAGAAAAACTGTATAAACTGCTACAGCAGCCTGTGATAGCTGGCTGGCCTTTCCTGGGAAGACCATTCTCATCAATGTAATTAGAGGACAGTCTTACATGTGCACATTGGTTTAGGAAGAGATTATATCCCAGGACCAGTTATCCAAAATAATGCTTAACATTGTGTATTATGGTCTCGTTCAGTCTGGATTATTGTCACTTGCAGGAAGAGACTAATCTGCATGCTGAAGTAGGAGAGGGTGTGTCTTTCAAAAATAAAAACTTTGTCATAGTAAGAGTTATTATTAGTCTTACTATCCATAAAGAAATATAAGCCTTTCCTGAATCCTAACATGCACAGCAATATCTGGTTTAAATTTTAGATTACAGGTTTTATATCACTGCTGGCATGGCTTTGGTTCCAGTTCTTCAGAGATAAAAGCTGCTGCAGCATTGTTTTATGTGCTTTGGATCAGTGAGCTGTCATGTTTACAAGTGGCAGATAAGTGGCTTCAAAACATTATTTGCAGTGTAATTGGTTGCTCATTAACATATGATGCCAAGTTTTCTTTTGATTTCTGTGTGTATCTTGGGAAATCCATCTGCCCTGAGCCTACAGCACAGCAAGGCACCATTTCATCAATATATGCTCCTCAGTGGCTGAAGTGAAGAGTTGACACACAATTGTTGCATCCTCCACATTGATTTTTCTATGAATGATGACTCATTTCTCACGGCTTGCCCAAAGAATACTGAGAAATTATTTTAGATTTCATCAAAACTTTATTCAAGCTAAGATTAAAACCTGGAAGCACTTTAAAGCAGTCTTTTACTTGCATCTTCCCACATATGTCTGAAACACATCTTTTTCCTTTCCTTTCCTTTCCTTTCCTTTCCTTTCCTTTCCTTTCCTT